TACTCGGATCATCGAAACATATCTTTACTTCAAGATTCATGTCGACTACTTGTCTACAAGGACAATTCCTTGTGACTATGCTTTGGGTACCGAATATCCAAGTACACTCTTAAATTTTGGTTTATGAGTTGATCTAAGCAACAATAATGTTGTAGATCTTAAAACATTGAAGTTTGAAAAGCTGTCGACTTGGATTATTTTGTTTCAACAATAATTGATTCCGATCTCAGTTTCCTCTTAGCAATCAATTTTGCTAAGTGTGTTCAAAGGAAGTCGAATATGCTTCAATAATTCGATCCTTCTTCCCACGTTAACCATAATAACATCCAGACCAACGCCGACTTTTGGTTTTGAAAATCTCTTTGATTTGAAAATAAGCCCAAAAAATAGAGAGAAAAATCTGAAGCGATTTAAGTTCCTTACAATTCTCACGTTTGGAATTGAGCTTTCGTTTTAGCCTTCGGCTGAAAAGAAAATTAGCTAAGCATGACTAAAGACATACTTAGCATATTTGAAAACAAAATTTTAAAAGAAAATAAAGAAATATGCGAAAACGCCTGAAAGAAAATAGAGAGAAAGCTTAGAGAGAAAAAAAGATTTAATTCTTAGATGTAAGAGATATGTTTCCAGGCTACCATGAGAGGGTATTTACAACCTTCAAAATCCTAAAAACAAGCTAAAGATAATTTCTAAAATAAACAAATAAATCCTAATTAAAACACTTAAAACTATTTAAACTAAAATTCCTAAAACAAAAATAAGATAAAATGTAATAAAAATAATATCCTAAATCCTAATTAAAACCCTTAAAACTATTTAAACTAAAATTACTAAATATAAAATTAAAATAATATCCTAAAACATGAGTTTAATTCAAATCCGAATTGCAAAAACGTGCGTCTGATCCATTCGTTCTTCTAGAAGTGCTGACTGTACCTTCTAAAAGGTACTGAAGTCATTGCCTCATCAGATATTCCAAGCCCAAAGTCATGCCCACTAGTCTAGCTTTGATTCTGAAAAAAATGTAGAATTCTGTCCTTTTAGTGCAATTTCTAGAATCTAGCATCCTGCATAGAAAATGAATAAAAATGAACAAATAGGCCACAAAAATCAATGATTAAGGAGTAATTTAAAAGCAAAATATTAACCAAATCAAGCACTTATCAATGGTCCATCCTATGACTTCTTTGTGAGAATGCAACACCGTTACCAAAGCTTTGTCGTCTGTTTCGGATAATTTACTTGAGATGATCACCGGTAAGGTTCTATTTTCTCCTAAAAAGGCATATTTCAAATGTTCTAGTAACTGCTTTAATTCTACCTCAGGTGCCTACAAAACAGAAGGTAAAATTTTAGTTTTAAAGGAAGGTAAAGATAAATCAGAATTAATTGAAAAAATATTTTTACACTCCTTTTCTTCCTCTTCGTCGAAAAGTTCAGGATCCTTGGAAAGAGTATAAGAAAAATTATATTCAATATATTCATCTATTAAAGTATCTATAACATAAATGGAATTAATTCTTTCAACACGATACGGGTATTTCATTGCTCATTGTCAGTATACCACTTCTAACATCGATCTTTGTATGTGCGGTGCTTAAGAAGGGTCGGCCTAAGATTACTTCAAAATAAGAATCTGACCTATCATGTTCCATGTCAATGACATAGAAATTTGTAGGAAAAAAAATAATGCATCGACCTCTACTAAGACATTTTCCATCACTCCCACTGGATAGGTCATAGATCGATCAGCCAACTATACGGTTATTCCTATTTCCTTCAAAGGCTCATTAGTAATCATTTTATAAATAGAAAATGACATAACGTTGATTGAAGCCCCTAAGTCACACATAGTACGTTTAATTTTAAAATTACCTATTTTACAAGGTATAACTAACATACCTTGATCATTCATCTTTGGTGGGAGTCTTCGTTGAAAAATTACGAAAACATGTTCTCCAAAATTTACCTTTTCGTGCCCCATTAATTTTATTTTTGTAGTGCAAAGTTCTTTTAAAAATCGAGCATACCTTTGTACTTGTCAAATTACTTCAAGAAGAGGTATGTTACCTTGAACTTTTTGGAACGCCTCTAAGATCTCCCTTTCTCCAGCTCTTTTATCATGCTTTATCAACTTTGATGGAAAGGGTGGTGGCATGATTTCATGAGAAGAAGGAGAATGATGTGTGTCAGATGTACCTTGTATTTCTGGAGGTGGTGTTTCTTCTTGTTCATCCTGAGGTGCAGCTTTTTCTCCTGGAAAATCAGATGAGATGATTGTTCCACTTTGGAGTGTGATGGCACTAGTATTCTCTCTCAGATTTAACTCCGTTTGAGAATAGTCTTCCTAGTGATTCCAATTTTCCCACAGTTTGAGCTAGTCAGATGACTTGGTTATCTAATTCTTGAATATGTGTCTCGGTTCGGCTTTGGAATTTTTCTTGTGAAATTGCTAATTTTTCTATGATTTCCTCCAATGATGGCTTTTACGTTTGCTGTTGAGGAGGAGGTCTTTGTTTATAAGATGGCCTTTGATTCATCGAATAACTGAAATTTGGGTGGTCTCACCATCCCAAATTATAAGTATTGCTATATGGGTTGTATGGTATTTGTGGAGGACCTGGAAAGTTTCATACGACATTACTTCTGTATTGCTTCCTTCTTGTGTCATCGGTCAGTTGTCCATCGGATGGTTCATCTCAGTGCATATCCCACATGCTATTGTTACCCCAGATTTTTCTGCAAGAAGCGAATTAACTATTTTAGTTAATTTATTTTTCTAGGGAAAAGGTACTTATCTCGTGAACCCGTCGGCTGGGTTCACTTGAAAACTATTGAGAGTTGGCTTCCATGGTTGAAATTAATTCTCTCGCTATTGTTGGGGTCATGTTGATTAATGCTCCTCCGTTGGTGGCATCTACCATTTTCATTTCCATTGGTAAAAGAACTTCATAAACGTATTGAAGTAACATTTCTTCACTTAATCCGTGTTGCGGACAACATTCACAAAGTTTTTTAAATCGTTCCCAACAGTCATAAAGACTTTCTTTGCTCTTTTCCCTTAATGGAAAGATTGCTCCTTCGTAACTCGTTTGCTTTAGCCGCTAGGAAAAACCTGTTAACAAAATTTGACTCATGTCAGCCAACAAATTAACTGAATTTGAAGGTAAATAAAATAACCAATCCTTAGCCAAGTCGGCTAAAGAGAAAGGGAAAGCTCTCAATTTAATTTGATCTTCGGTAACTCCCTATGGTTTAATGCTAGTGTAAAACATGTGAAACTCCGATAAGTGTTTGTGTGGATCTTCAGTGGGAAAGTAATGGAAAGTAGGAAGAAGATGAATAAGTCCCGTATTTAATTGAAATGAAGTCCGACCATTAGTAAAATTGATGCATAATGGCGTCTGAGTGACAGAAGCTGGAATTAGCTCTCGAATTGTTTGCTCTTCTTCTGCCATCGAGATCTGATCTTCGTTATATGTGTCTGCTTCAGAGTTTTTCTCCGGATTTGATTACGTTTATGAACTATGCTCTTCTCATCTCTTTCTTTTTTCTCGAAGCGTTTGTTCGTGGATTCTTCATGCTCGTGCTTCAATCTCTGGGTCAAGATCTACTAATTCTCATGGGTTTCTTCTGGTTACAAATCAAAAAAGAAAAAAGAAAAATAAACCAGTATTTGTTGTTAGTCCCCGACAACGGTGCCAATTTGATAAATGTTGTTTTGCTATCAAAATAATTTCACCTTCTTAATAAGTAAAAAGTGAGAGTAGTATAGAGAAGCAGGGTCAATCCACAGGGACTCTGGTGTTTCTGATTTAGTGGACTTTTTGATTTAGAAGAAGATAAAATTTTAGATAAGGATAAAAAGTTAAAATAATAACATAAAATAAATAATAATTATAAGATAATGATAAAGATAAGAAGGGGAATTGTTTAAAGAAATATAATGAGATAAAAATTAAATAAACAAACAAATAAATAAAATAAATTGAGATAAAGAAGACTTATGGTAAGAACAACCTCAGACTTCAGCTTTGCCTCAAATTCCTCGGATCATCAAAATAGATCTTTACTTGAAGTTTCATGTCGACTACTTGTCTACAAGGACAATTCCTTGTGACTATGCTTTGTATAATAAATATCTAAGTGCTTTATTAAATTTGGGTTTGTGAGTTGATCTAAGCAGCAACAATGTTGTAAATCTTAAAACGTTAAAGTTCAAAAAGCTCCCGACTTGGATTATATTGTTTCAACAATAACTGATTCCGATATCAGTTTCCTCTTAGCAAACAATTTTGCTAAGTGTGGTCACAGGAAGTCGAATATGCTTCAACAAGTTGATTCTCCTTCCCACGTTAACCATAACAATATCCAGACCAACGTCGACTTTTGGTTTTGAAAATCGTTTTGATTTGAAAATAAGCCCAGAAAATAGAGAGAAAAATTAGAAATGATTTAAGTGCCTTACAATTATCACGTTTGGAATTGAGCTTTCGATTTAGCCTTCGGCTTAAAGAAAATTAGCTAAGCATGACCAAAGTCATACTTAGCATATTTAAAAACAAAAATTAATAAAATAAAGGAATTTCGAAAAACTATAAAGAAAATAGAAGAGAAAATTTTATAAAGCTAGAGAGAAGAAGAAAGGTAAATTCTCAGATGTGAGAGATATGTTTCTAGGCTTACCCTAAAAGGATATTTATAGCCTTCAAAATCATAAAAATAAGCTAAAACAATTCCTAAAATAAAGAAATAAATCCTAATTAAAATACTTGAAACTATTTAAACTAAAATACCTAAAACAAATGTAAGATAAAATATTATCCGAAATCCTAAATAAAATACATAAAACTATTTAAACTAAAATTGTAACAACCCGGAAAAATGGAAAAAAATTATAATTGTGTAAATTGGCGAAATTTGGGGATTAAATTAAAAGTTTTAAAAAATTGTGTAAATCATAAACAAATTGCTAAACTTTCCTTCTCTCGCACCCTTACTTCCAAACCCGATCCCGACACCGTCTGACCACCGATCGTCGATTTGAAACCACCATCATATTCGTCATCGACTGATGAACAAACCCCGTAAATCAATTGAAGGGAAACACTGTCAAACGCCATGAATTTTGATTTAAAGTCTCGATGTTTTATTAGCACCACCGCTTGGAAAATCTTAAATTCATCGCCGATCGTTGCTCTGTTTTCGACACCTCCCACACCATTGTATTCCTAATGCTGTTCCGAGTCCGCCGGTGTCTTCCTTGTTTCCTTCGTCGCCAGTGCGTGAGGGAGTTGAAGCGGTCAAAGTTACGGACGTGCTGTAATCGAGCTCTCCACCGTTCAAAATTGTGAACGAGCTTTGTAAATGCCTCCAAATCGCTTAAAATAATATTTGGAAATTTTTCTTTAATTTTTTCAACCCCGGAAGAGGTTCCACGCGCTGCCACTGCGCGTGGGGGAAGTTCAAAATCGATTTGAAGCATTAAAACCAGTTTGACAAGTTTTAAACCGACTTGACTGGTCCAACTCGACCCGACCCGTTGACCGTTGACCAAAACTTTGACCAGCGTTGACCAGCAATTAAATGGTCGTTGACTTTTTCTAGGTATACCTATTTTAACATTTTTTGACGTCCTGAATTTGTTTTTGGGGTCTGTTTCACCAAATTCGAACCTGAAAGTCTCCAAGTCACTAGTCAAACCCGTTAACTTTGACCAAAAAGTCAAATTTTTGAAATGTCATATTTTATGTTTTTTGACATGTTGAATCTGATTCCGAAGTCCGTTTTACAAAATTCTGACCCGAAATCTCTGAATCGATCTTGTTAACCCAAAAAGGCTTAGTATTTTTAGCATTTTGATTATTTATTTGAGATATGGTTATGGAATTGATTCAGTAAAAATATTTTTTGAAGGTACTCGTGTTTCACCTGAGCGAGGATCAGTTAGGTCCGATGTTGTTCGTTCGTCAGATCAGCCCGAACCGCGTACTACGAGAATTACCCGTAGGTTTTCATAAATTTTTTAAATAAAGGTTAAGATTATTCATAGTAGGATTTAAATATGGATTTTTCCGATTCGTAGGATCTAGCGCTGTAGCAGAGCATGAGTGACAGACCCAATAGTAGGCTTCCCTATCTAATTTCTCATACTGTTACAGGTGTGTTTCCTGACAGTGTTACATTACTCTTTTAAAATATATATCTGAATACTATGTATCTGATATATGATTTACCATATATTTCTGATATGATTTCTGGTTACAGTATTTTATACCGATTTCTGAATACTGATTATCTGACATCTGAATTGTCGTACATTACTGATTTGATTTTTGATTTCTTTATTTCTGCTTATGTTTCCAAGCTTGAAAATTCTTATGGTTTTAAAGGATTATTCATTGTTTTACTCGAATACATTCTATTCATTACTGTCATTGGGGGTATTGTTGGAGGAAGATTATCTGCAGGCTCCTCGGCTGTGTGCTGAAGGCCTTACTGGTTGTGTGCTCAGGGCCTTACTGGTTGTGTGGGGTGTATGGTTCTGGGGAACCTACACAAACAGATTGTGAAATGATGGGGGTAGTGTTCATGTGCTTTTTAAAAACATGTTGCATAAACCGATTTTATTGAAAGATTTTATTTGTATGTTTATTTTTATATACTGTATGGAGCACACTGGGTTTTTTAGCTCATTCTATAAATTTTACCCTTTTTCAGATAACAGTAGATCGTAATCTAGCAGATTTGGCATCAGAGGAAATCAACTACTTTTACTCTTGTATGAACGAATACCTCTACATGTTTTTCAGTTGTATTTTGTGACATGTATTTTGCTATCATTTTGGATATAACCGTATTATCAATATTTTTTTCCGTATTACCTCTAATGTTTTATAAGTTGTTTTAAATATAAAAAGAATCTCTGAATGGGACATGTGACTGCTTAGGTTTGGGTCTAACATTCAGACCGGGTCTAGGGGTTACATTTGATAGTATAAGAGCTTTCGGTTTTAAAAACTCGGACTATGGATGAGTCCTAAACCCTATATTTTTAAGAAATTTTTATATTTTAAAGAAATGTGTCACCTTATTTATGAATTATTTTTTTCGAGATCCTTGATGCTAGTCTGACTTATGTTTCAAATTCTTTCTGTAGAGCTTTGTAGATCCAACGATGAGTGCTGCTAGAGGTCGTAGGATAGGACGTGGTCGTGGTCGAGTCGCTTGACCTTCTGTTACGATAGACGATCCGATGTTACCACGTGATCCTCCTATTCCTCAAGTAGTTCCGACCCTTTCTCATGACGATCAGTTTACTCTTGTAAGAGACCCTCCCGTCACTGAAGATGAGGATACTAACATGAACAAAGACGCCATTAGTAGAGCTATCTTTGACATGTTTTAGAGAGCTTCTAGAGTCCCTAGTAATATAAATGCGGTCTAGATTTCGAATTATTTGGTAGCTGTTGGAGTAGTTCCTTTTAAGGGAATTACTGGGGGATCTCCGACAGACGCTGAGTATTGGATGGAGAACACAGAGAGGATTATGGATGAGATTGATTTGAGGCCTGAATAGAAGTTAAAGGGAGCCCTAACTATGTTGAAGAAAGAGAGCTTCAGATGGTGCCAATCAGTTTCTGGTAGTATTCCGAGGAACCAATTAACATGGGATCATTTTAAGACACGTTTCCGGAGTCGCTACATCGGTGAGAGATATCTGTATGAGCGACGCTAAGAGTTTCAGAATCTGGAGCATGGTAGCATGTCTGTTATGGACTATGAGGTTGAGTTCATCCGATTGAGTCGTTATACTCCTGGACTTGTAGACACTGAGATAGATATATGCTTGAGGTTCGAGAATGGACTCAAGTATGAGATCAGGAGTCAAGTCGCTACCCATCGTGAGAGAAATTTTGATGCCTTGGTTGAGATAGCCAAGACTGCTGAGGAAATAGAGCGATTGTGTATGGAGCATAGGAGAGATAGAGATCAAGCTCAAGACTGATTCAGGAGTCCTTCTGGTTCTGTTGATTCTTCTACACACCCAGGCAAGAGAGGCAGGGGTGAGTCTTTTCAGAGAGGCAGTGCGAATGTCAGACCTGTTGCATCTGGTTCTTCAGTTGTTTAGCTTTCTAGACATGGTGGTTCTTTTGGGTTACAGCCTTTACAACTATGTGATTATTATGGGAAACCTCATTTTAAGGAATGCAGGAGGAAATTAGGTACCTTTTTTAGATGTTGTTCAGGTGACCATATTGTAAAGGATTGTCCAGAGTTAACTCATCTAATTCAGGCACCAGCTCGTACTCCCACTCGTACTTAGAGTACTGTTCAGACTCCTGCAGGTGGTCGTACTCAGGAGAGGTCATTAGGATCAGCTAGTAGAGGTCAAGCATCTCAGAGTAGGGGTCCAGTCAGATCTGAGGCCAGGCAACCTGTATTGGTTTACACTGCTAGACTTCGACAGGATCGCGATGGGCCTAATGTGATTGCAGGTACAATTACTATTCATTCAGTTCCCTACTTTGCATTGTTTGATGGTGGTTCTACCAATTCCTATATATCACATTCCATTTCTGAGGGCCTGAATATTCCTGTTGAGAATATTGAGAATTCGGTGATAGTTCAAAATCCATTAGGTAAGTCCATAGTGTTGAATCGTATTTTTAGAGAGTGTCCTATAGAGATCAAAGAGGAGATTTTTCTGGCCAACCTGATGGAGTTACCTTTGGAAGAGTTTGATTTGATTCTCGGCATAGATTGGTTGGACAAACATCGAGTCAATCTCAATTGTGAGACCAAGAGAGCTGTTATAAAGATCCCAGATAACAGAAAGATTGTAATGATCGGGGAACGTCGTGGATTTCTGACAAATGTTGTGTCTCCTTTGGTAGCAGAGAAGATACTCATGAAGCGTTCTGAGGAATTTCTTTCTTATATTTTGGACACTAGAAGTTCTAAATCTGATATTGAAGGCATCCGGATTGTCAAGGAATTTCCTGATGTTTTTTCTGAAGAGTTGCCTGGATTACCGTCTGATAGAGAGTTTGAGTTTGTGATTGAAATCTATTCTGGTTCCACCCCGGTTTCAATGGCTCCTTATCGTATGGCCCCAAAGAAGCTTAAGGAACTAAAAGTCTAAATTCAGGAGTTGTTGGATACGGGATTTATTCGACCCAGTGTATCACCGTGGGGAGCCCCAATGCTCTTTGTCAAAAAGAAAGATGGGACACTGAGACTCTGTATTGATTATAGGAAACTGAACAAGCTCACGGTTAAAAACAAATATCCTATGCCCAAGATCGATGATCTATTTGACCAATTTTGAGGGGCTTCTATCTTTTCAAAGATAGACTTGAGATCTGGTTACTACCAACTTAAAGTGAAAGATTCTGATATTCTAAAGACTGCTTTTCGTACTCGGTATGGACATTACGAGTTTCTAGTAATGTCATTCGGGTTAACAAATGCCCCTGCTGCTTTTATGTATCTGATGCATCGAGTGTTCCAACCTTATTTGGACCAGTTTGTAGTTGTATTCATCGATGACATACTGGTGTATTCTCCAACTGAAGTAGAACATGAGGAGCATTTAAGTATTGTTCTATAGACTCTAAGGGAAAATAAGTTATACACTAAGTTGAGAAAGTGTGAGTTCTGGCTCAGCGAGGTGACTTTTCTTGGACATATCGTTTCTGTTGATGGTATTCGGGTGGATCTGAGCAAAGTAGAGGCTATCCTGAACTGGAAACAACCCAGGAATGTCTTAGAGATCCGTAGTTTCTTGGGCTTAGGTTGTTACTACCATCGTTTCGTTGAGGGGTTCTCTCTTATTGCAGCTCCTCTAACGAAACTATTGAGGAAAGATGTTCCATTTACCTGGTCTGAGAACCAACAAGCTAGCTTTGAGAAACTTAAAATTGTTCTAACTCAAGCCCTAGTGCTGATTCAGCCTGAATCTAGGAAAGATTTTTCTATCTACAGTGATGCTTCTCACTCTGGATTAGGATGTGTTTTGATGCAAGATGGGAAGGTTGTCACTTATGCGTCACGTCAATTAAAGCCGCATGAGTGTAACTATCCTACTCACGATCTGGAGTTAGCTGTCGTGGTTTTTACT